ACGTGAAGAATTTCCAGTCATATTGATGGGGTTTTGTGAGACCATGACGGCATTGCACCATAGCAAACTATGACCGCTCATAACTCGCTCGCAAAATGCAGGCAATTTCGGTTCCCACAGATGTAGCCCGGGTCTAGGTTTAATGGACATGGTACAATTACTGAATTCAATGAGCTAAAGTGGAAAATGATCCTGAACTTACCCATGCAGGTTTTCTCATCTTTCCCTAGCACATAGCCTCCGAAGCATTCACAGTGTCGACCACCTTCGTCGTTGCGACACAGCTGACTACATCCTCCATTATTCACAAGGCACTCGTTCACATCTGAAAGGACAGTAGTTGATTTTTGATGTAGACAGTTCTTCATTTCTGAAGAATGAAGAACTCCTACTCCTTTCTTTTGGCCACAGACTATCACTTCTTCAAGCACTCTGACATCCTTCCTTTGGAGGAGGTCTTCATCAGCCTACTTGGGATAGCGACTACCTTCGGCGATTTCTCCCATACTAGATCATTAGAATTTTTAGTAGAAGCAATAGTTTCAGTCGTTTCCCATTGACACCCTTCACAATTTCGCCCTACATTTTATGCTTATTTGAAGGCATATGGCACTACAGTCGGCCCAAAGTGCTAGCAGGGTGCTATACAGTGGAAAATGGCGAAAAAAAACGAAGTGAAACGATCAGAACTCTGCGAAGAAAAAGCCTCGTTCTTGATGACTCAAACAGCAGTTTCCCGTAGTCTTGCTAATAACCGCTACGGTAGATACGGCTGCATGTGTAGCGTAGTTTGCTGTGGACGGTGGGCGTGTCAGGCGGGATGAGTTTGGCGCGGTGCCAAACCCGTTCTCCACTGTTAAAGCGAGCAAATGATATGACTGTATCATATCGTTCGTACTCGTTTTCTACCACTTTTTGTCGCATGCGCGCTTCAACAAGAAGGCAGAGAACGGCTTTGACGGGGTGACACACTCATACTGCCTGACACGCCCAACCGTCCGCAGCGAACTAGAGTGTACTCATATATCCATGCAGCACCGTGGCCGATTCATATCAATCTCTTATACTGTACTCTGCAAATAAAGCGATAAGCATCAGACACGGTCGTCCATTTGTAGGCGGCCGGGAGCGGTGGGCATCCGAGTCGGTATGGTGCAGCTCTATAGGGCTGAGTACCTTCCTTGGAAAGGGCGCTACGCAGCGCCTGCTCAGAAACACGGAATTCCGTCCTGGCAGGCGTATTAATCCTACTCGTCTCAGGGACTCATGTGCCAACAGCCTTCAATTTCTTTTGCGCTCAAGAAGTTTGAAGCTGAAGAGTTTTTCGTTCCGGAAAAGGCTCTGCAAGATAAATCTGAAACAAGAATTTGTTCATTTCACATACCGTAACACGAATGACCGTCTTCAGCCAGACCATATCCTTCTTCGCAAGAGCATTTGTAGCCGCCTGGCATATTAGTGCATGAATGTTGACAGCCACCATTGTTCAATACACATTCATTGATGTCTGCAAACGGAAAAGCTGATCATTGGCAAAATTACAAGAACACGAGACAGGATCTGTGAAACATGAGGGGAGTAGCACGTACAGAAATGCTCTCGATTGCTGGTTTTGCTGTCGGGGGCGCACAACGCAACCCCTTAGTAAGCAACGGAGCGGCAAAAATACTAGTAATGATAGTTAGGTCAGGGCCTCCCCTGCATCCCTTCCGACGGCAGTTCTCCAGGAAAAGCTGTGAGCGGAGGTTGGGCACGAGGATCATACCAGAGAAAAATATTCAGGGAAGGGAACATAATCAAATTTTTTCTACAACGTGATGATGTGGCTTGGCATAAGCAAGGTAGATACAAAAGAGTCACTGAAAAGCTCAAGCACTTCAATACCGACTGTTTTAGAGTTGTGTTTTGGTTTGTTAACCGCTGTTCAGCGCACAAAAGTTCGAAAGTTTCACAAGAATGCTGAGTTATGAGCAAAAGCTAGAACGCAAGACGGGACTCAAACCCATTCCCCGCCCATCTCCCGCTTACCGGGCGGTCACTTTATCTACAATACCGAGGCCGCCTAACCCTCTCAGTTCAGCGGTTTTTTATGCCATTGCTCCACGCACTCACACTTGTCATTTTGGCTTCATAACTCGCGCTGTGATAAACGCAGTTTTTGTTCAAGGCGAAGCGCATGTCCATTTCCGAGGATCCTGTCCTTACAGTGTGCGAACAGAACACGTTGGCGGCTACAGAAATGAACGTCATCTCAAACCGCGAGGAAAAGAGGCTGCGATAGCGCAATATTTTTCAGGACTCCGCCTCCCTCTGGCTCGTGCACGCGGCCACAGGCCTAAACATTGACAGAACGCGTACTTGTAGTGCTGTTCAGCGTCGATTGTTTCCCACCTTCGACTTGTGTGTTCGCCTGATATCGACGCTGGTGCTGAATCACGAGAATAGCGCGGGAGCCGTCCAAAAGAGCATCTAGCTATCACTACCCCTCAGCTTCATTACCGAATTTGGTGCAAGTGTACCAAGATGATAGCATTGGCGGAGTCCAAAACAGCATCGAGCTACCACTACCCATCAGCTCAATTCCCGCTCTCTTTCAAGACAGAAACTTGTAATCTGTAAATCACACTTGTAGATCTGCCAACCCTACTACAGCACATGGCAAGGACCGTTCTCGGATATGAGCGTGAGCTCCTCTTCAGTCCACACGTCACACAAGGTTTGGTATTGCTGCAATGGTTCTGCTCGGTAGACGAAAAAAGCCTGTCTCGGAAGTATCAGAACAGCGTCAGTGCTTTAAGCGGTTCTTTTTTGGGTCCAAAGTCTCCGTTTCATGAGTTTCACAAACCTTCACAAGTTCGTCCATCGTACGTCATGATATAGCCAGTTTTGCACTGACATTCATAAGAACCGGGAAGATTCACACACAGTTGTGAGCAACCTCCATTTCCTACGGAGCATTCATTTATATCTGAAATTACTGCAGCATAGAATCAATAGTGTTTGTTCTTCCAAAATTACACACAATACTACTAACACCATAGGTGAAGCAAGTGAAGCTACTGCTACTACTCACTGCTACAAATAATGACTAACACGTGATGTGAAGGGTAGGAAGATGTGCCAACCAACGCTGTGCAAAAGGAAAAGGAACAAGGCCTTAGGTCAGTGACATGTTCATCTAGGCATCCACTAGATCTACGGCGGTAACCCGGTGTGCTAACCCTGGCATGAATGCCTATCGATTTCGTTGAGCAGGAAATTCTCTGTTGTCGTTGCAATAGCGATAGTCCATACAGAGACGATGACATGAGCCTTGATTCAGAAGGCACGATGAGTCTTCGTAACCATCCGACAGATAGTATGAGGACTGCCATCGATGCAGTGGAAAAATTTCTGAACCGATTCAATGGTTGATTGTAGACCGCACGATAAACTGAGTGTTAAAAACACGCTCTGTGAGTGGCGGATGGGCAGGAAATGGCTGGAGACTGATAATTACTGTACCTTTCTCGAAGGTCGGCCTCTCAGTCTGATACAGTAGGGAGAAGCACACCCCCGAAGAGACCTAGTTCTCTGTAATTTCTCTACCATCGGATGTGTCTTTGATGGAAGTCGTGAGAAATTAGTAGCTTGCAGTAAAGAAAAGGCAGAATAAACTGCACTGAATAAGCGGTCTTTTGCTGCGAAAAACCTTGACAGTTTCGGGACACTCCCATAACAAAGGACTGTCCCAAATACTGTCGCGTGAACGAGGACCGTGGTGAGATTTTCATCTTGTGACATTTCACGAGAAAACAAATGGAATTGTAACACCCCTTACTGACTTTTCATGCATAACCTAGAGCGCTGGCGTTCTGCTTTGATCCTGACGCTGATCTTCCTGTTGGAAAGGTCTCCACAACGAGAGGAAGGGATCTCTAGAGGATCTGATGGAACTATAGCGCACTATTTACAAACTCAGTTTATCGTGCGCGCTGGCCCAAAGGCCCATCTCTGATCATATGGCGGAGATATGCACTTGGACCACTATACATGCCGTGTTGGTACGGGCCCCTTCTTTGCCGCGGCAGAAAGACGAGTGTAAGAACGAGAAGGGTGCAGTGGTCCAAGCGGCTCTGCGCATATTATCAGCGTGGTTTGTGTCTTCAAGTGTACAATGTGCTGCATGAGACGGTAATGATAAATGGTTAAACCTGCATCCATAGCTGTGGTGCCGTTTGAGGATCCTAAAACTTCGAGACTCAGAACAAAAATTGATGTTCCCCGTCGTCCATATTGGAGGAGGAGTGCCCACGGACTTAGCCACGAACAGAACAAGAGGATAGTAGACATCCGCCTGTTGAGGCAGGGATGCGTGTATAAGAGAGAGCGTGGAGTTACGGGAAACTGCTATGCGCATCTAGCATTTGTTCCTGAACCACGGTCGCGCTCATAGCTGATTCCGTGGACACTCCCCTTCGAACGCCAAGGGAGACTGTAGTAGGAGCAATACGCATACACGCAACACGCAGGGCTGTTTCAGTGGCTGGGTATAGCGCGACCCCAAACCTGTTTCTCAGTAATTGTTGAAGCGGGTGAGCGACAATGATTGGTAGAAAACGACTGATACGAGCTATAAGATACAGCCTTGTTGCTACCTCGCTTCAACAACTGGCTGAAAATAAGTTTGGCGCCGCGCCAAACCCTTCTGACCTGACACTCCCCATCAGGAATGAACAGAACTGTAAGAAGTTTGACTATACTCCCACTTAGAAGAAAAAGAATTCCACAAACTTCCACACTTTAGTGTCTAAAAGCACAGGTGTCAAGAAAGGCTGCGTTTAAGGCAGCCCAATCAGCTTTTATGCGAAAGTGGTCCTTGTATTGAAGCATGATGGCTTTTGCTTAGAGTGTTCAAAGTGTTCTTAGAATAGGCATGAAGAAACAGGCAGAAACTCGTAATAAAATTTATTTTTCAATGTAGTCCCCATAACCTAAATACAATTGTTCGCTCGGGAAACCAACTTTTCAGAAGGCTGCAGGAATATTTTCCCTCCTTGTTCAAAATTGCGTTAATTGCTGCCTTTCAGGTGCTCCGTCATCAGAAGAAAAAGCACTCTCCCACGAAGGTTGTCCTCTAAGCTGGGAAGAAATGAAAAAAAAATCTAACGGATCACTCCTCTCCAATTTACTTATTCATTTTTTCAATGTCCTTTCATTTGCTCTTCAAATTTTCAATCAGTAGTCAGTAATAAATGAAATTTGTACCTATACCCTCAGAGATTGTCGCTACCTATTGAAATGACTCAAATTCCTTCGCCACTGCTAAATTACCCCGATACCGAGACTACGTTGAACGGTCCTTGTACTTACATACTATGTACACGTTTATTATGAATAAGTAATGAACTTTTAAAAAGCACGTTAAGAATCTACAAAGTTTGAGCGCTTCTAAAGTTTATACGTCTCCCTCATATCTGTATCTTTTTACTATAATCTTTTGAATCTTCTAACCGAATTCCTTTCACTACAATCGATGATAAATTAGAAGTTGCTGCGAAATCCATGCAGTACCTTCTAAACTTCTGACGGGTATTGATACAATTTGCGGAAAACAAGTACTTCAAGGTAAACATACCAATGCAACTTTTTCCATCGGCACCTAGATCGTAACCGTCACGACACTTGCACACATGGCTACCGTCCGGTTGATCGTAGCAGTCATGCTGACAGCCACCATTAGCAATTTGACATCCAGTCAATCGTTCGTCACAAGAGCGACCGGTCCGTCTGCCGGAGAGTGAAACCGGTGACGGCTAGCGACACGCTAAAATATCAACGAGATGTTGCGGCATTGATTTGTGAATTGGCTTCATAACATCCTACTATATATAATCGCTAAGTTTGTCGTTGGTGTGTGTGATTTATGTATGTCTGTTGTAGACGGGGGAATCATAACTTCTTCAAAACAACGACTTGTGCGCGCTCAAACTGATACGAGATATAGGGGTCGTGCCAGCAATCATCTATGGTAGGGGCAAGAAGTGATAACAGCTGATAAGATAACATAAGGGGCCTTAGAAGGGGAGGGTCGCCAACTTCTTAACGCGCGTCACAGCGACGATGGGACGTTGGTTCCAAGAACTAAGATAGGGGGCAGGATGGAAACATTATTGGATGGGGGCGAGAGCAGTGATACAGCCTGATAAGATAGACGAAAGAACCTTAGAAGGGGAGGGTCACAAAATCCATAACGTGCGTCACAGTGATGGTAGGGTGTTGGTTCCAAGAAATAAATAGGGGGCAGGATGGAAACATTAGTGGTGGGTGGCAGGAAGTGATAAGAGCTGATAAGATACCATAAGGGGTCTTAGAAAGCGAGGGTCATCAAATTCATAGCACCGGCCACAGCGACAACGACATTGGTTCTAAGAAGTAAGACAGGGGCAGGGTGGGAACATATTGGCGGGTGGCAGGAATTGATAACAGCTGATGAGATAGCCAGGAAAATTCAAAGCAGAGTTGTAGCAACACTGGGAACTGCTCCAGCAAGTAATTCAGAGGTGCTTAGGGAACATTAAAGGTGGAAGATAAATCCTGTCATTGTCCTACAAGGGCTTTTGGGAGTCCGTATCTGCTCACATCACCGTAACCAAAGAATCAATGGGCGAAGGCTTAGTAAGTCAAGATGTTTCCTATCAGTAACAATCCCTCAGTTTAGCGGTCGGAATTGCTTCCACCGCTAAACGCTCGAGTTCCCCGAAAAAGGATGTATGGAGTTGTTGCCCAGTGAGGAATGATAAGAGCACTGTGATTTCGATATTTTTAATATCGGAATCCTTCCAACCGCTATGCTGTCCGATTTCCAACAAATGTGATTCGAGAAATATGATAGGAAACCTAACATCGGCAAATGTTCATTAAAAGGGAGAAACATGATGAAATGGGCCGTTTTGACATAGGAATTAGGGTAAGTGTTAGTGCTCAGCACAGGAATCCTCTGTCAGTTATCAGTACAAAGGTTGTAACACACGCGCAGATACTGCCCGCATTTCATAGCCATGACTGGTATAATAGTACAGAGAAATTATCAAATAATTATCACAGCGTAACGGAGATGGTGATGGTGAAAGATTGTACAGCATACCACGCGCATGGTCCGGACAAATTTCGTCTTCAACTGGGACCACTACTGAGCGCACATTTGGTCGGGATCGATAGGTGCCAGGGTTCGGAAAGATAAATACACTAAGTTGCACATCGGCTGGCCCCTACACGCATGCAAAGGGTAAGTACTACTTCAGAGGCAGTGCATGGTACCCCCCCCCCTCAAAAAAAGTATCGGTCGCCGCTGTCCTTCTCCTTTTGTATTTTGTACTAAGAGCTCAACAAAGGTAGTGGCACAGCTCGCGGGAGCTTGATCAGTGGTTGCAAATGTAGTGGCTACAGGGTACAGCGTCGTGAATTGTGATATAGTGGTGCCAGTACTCTCGGGGAGGGCCTTGGTACGACCCCCAACCTAAGAGGGGGTTCGTTTGGTCCCCCCCTCCACCCAACAGCTTATCCACCTACCTTACCTATCCACTTTCCTACATTTTCCAGTTTTTCATCCACAGATTTTCCGTCGAGGGGGGGGGGGGGGTGGGGTACATAGTACACATGAAACAGGAACAGGCGAAAATTCAACAACGGGGAAAATTTTCCCAACGCGGCAAATTTCTCTCAAAGCCACATACGACCCCCTCCCCAGCCGAAAAGTACGACCCCCTGTGTGTTTCACACAACGATGCTGTACCCTGTGTGGTCGCATATTGGCTAAAAGTCCTTTGGAGTAGTCCAAAAAACACCAAGTTGAACGCCGTTTCAGTTTCAGTCATGAACACGGTTTGGAGTT